CTACAACTATGGCTGGAACATTGCCAACAACATCAATATCATATTATAAGCATGACAGAAACAAAATTAGCTGACTCTAGCTATACAGAACTATCTACAAGCAATCCTTATTACTACATATACACCTCAAACTGCAATGCCCAAAGAGCAGTCAAAAGAGAAACAAGCCTTGGTACTGCAATTGCAATTACCAAACCATTAAGACCTTATATTCATAATATTATAACAGAACCAGGAACAGCTATTGCAATAGACTTCTTTTTTCCAAACAAAAACAAAATCAGAATAATCTCCATCTACCTACCAACCACAAACCACCCTCTTAATAGGACTATACAGCAAACAATAACACAGTGAGTAAACTAGGCAACAGCTAAAGGCTATTATACAATTGTCCTTGGAGACTTCAACATTGACAGAAAACACAAAAAGAAAATAGCTTCACTTTTCAATATCTTAAAACTATATGGACTACTTAGCACACTCGACTACTTTAACATCACAGACTCTACCTGAAGCTGACAAGAAATAAACAGCCAAATAGATGACATCTGGGTCCCAACACAACTCATACATAATATAACACCTCCTTAAATAATTCTTTTAAATAGAATAACAGACAGTGATCACCAGATAATGCAACTGCAATAGGCATACAACCCTCAAATAAAAAACAACAGACGAAGGCAAAGGAAAAAAGAAATCTTTAAATATGACCAAATGACACCAGACAAGTGGACAGATTTTTCAAGCTCGATTACAACCTACCTAAAAGAAAATACAACTGCACAAAAAATAAAAAATGCTAGCATACTAAACAAACAATGGTATGAACTCAACCAAGCAATTATCACAGCAGCTAAAAAGAACATACCCAGAATCAAAATTCAACCTCAAACTTTCTATACCTTTTCTACCAAAGCCACTAAACTCCATACAGCTCTTAAGTGCATCAACAAACTAATAAGACAAATACAAGCAAATACACAAACTTCTAATAACACCTTAATACAAACATATAACGAGGATATAGACTATATCAACAACAAAACAGAAATACAAATCAACCACATCACACCAGAGGACCTGATACCCACTAACAAGGAGGCACTAATCATACAGCTAAAAGTTCAGCAAAAGACAATACATCAAGCCAGAAAACTAGAAAATAACCTTGCCCACCAAAGTACAATTAACAA